CCCTTGACGTCGGCCTGGCAGCCAGGCGAGCTCGCCTTGCTCCGTCTTTCCTCCCCCCCTTCTCCCTGCCCTGCCCCTCCTCCCTCGCCCCCTCCCTAACACCGACCCCCCCTCGCCGTTGCGCCCCCTCGCTCACCCTCTCCGTCCCCACCACGCTCCCTTCTCCCCTTCGCCCTTCGCCCTTCGCCCTCCCCTTCCCTTTTCTTCTGCCACGAGAGGTTCCTTTGCAACCACCTTCCACCATCTTGATTGCCTACCTTCCTGCCTTCCCTGCCGCCTCCGCCCCACAGTCCTTTCCGATAGTCTCGCTCTCCATCGTTGCAACACCCGGCACGTCGTCCTCATCACACCGGACTTGGTCGACCGCCTTCATCCCATCGACACCACCAGCTGTCGATCTGATCCTCTCTGATACCCCACCCACGCGAAACCAGCACATCTTGCCTCGACCCCGGCCGACGACGACGATGATGCACTCGATACGCGCGACGGCTATCGTGGCGGCGGCGGTCGCTGGCGTGGTGTCGCTGCAAGCGGTGGCGGCGCAGCAGCCGGCGGCGACGGGCGGCTGCATCAGCCTCAAGGGCAGCAGCGCCTGCCCCTCGTTCCAGGAGGCCTTCATCAACCCGACCAGCCTCGCAGACGACTGGTCGTTCTTCAACAACGTCACCGACGTCGCATCGTTCGACGCGCGCTTCGCCGCCTACCTTGTCTCGGACCGCGGATACTACGCCGACCAGATCGCCAACGGCCTGCAGTGCCGCACCGAGGCGGCACACAATGTCACGCTCCAGTGGCAGCAGACGATCTTCTGCTCTCGCTTCGCCCAGCAGTCGTTTGACGCCGGCTGCAACGGCGCCGGCAGCGAGGGCCAGGACCCCGCACCGAGGCCCGCGCCCGTGTGCGAGGAGACCTGTGTCCAATTTGTCGCCTCGGAGCACTCGGTGCTCGACTTCGACAGCTACTGCCCCAACGACGGCGCCCTGACGGCGGCGCAGAACACGACGCGGTACGATACGCTCCGCACCAACTTCCGCACCTGCACCGACCGCTCGCTCGACGCCACGCGCAACAACGCCACCTGCGTCCTCGGCATCAACAACGAGGGCAGCTGCGGATTCGCCAGCTCCGTCGACCAGCTCTGCGCCCACTGCGACCCGCGCTACAACGACCAGCTCCCGTCGTGCTGCTTCGACGCGCGCACCGATCTCTCGACGTGCGCCGAGTGGGGCCACCCTCGCGCCTCGTCGATCGTCCCGCAGCAGAGCGTCGCCACCAACATCGGCGCCTCTCCGATGGCGATTGGAGCCACCTCGACCGCCAGCACGCCAGCCCCCGACG